CGCTATAGGAATTTTACCACAGAGTAACAATTAGATGCTACTGTTCATATTTCCAGCTTCCAAATGGATGGGAACTCACATCCATGAAAGCCCATAAAAGCCAGAGAAAACAAAATAAATGAATTGCTACACTCTACACTCAAAACCCAGAGTCTTGGATACTCAGTCTAGAAAACCATGTATTTCTAGTGGCAGCTCCATGCCAACAATATCTTATCGAACGAATCAAATGGATTACTTCGTAAATTAAAAAGAAAAGTCTACAGAGGCCTTAGAATGTTTCTGGAAGGATGGTTACCATTTAAATGCTAATACACATATGTACACATACATACATAATAAGATGGCTACTAATTACGGTTTTCCTTCCTCCCTCCCTTCAACCCTCCCTCCCTTGTTTCCTTCCTCCTAAGATAATACTGCTGAGAGTGATCACTGACCCGAACCCTTTCACATGAGGCTGAAACGCAGGGGTAGAAGACCCAGGCCCCGGCTCACAGCACAGCTCCTGCAGCCCCTCACTAATGAGCAGTTCTGTCGCTCAGACTTGCCACTTGCCAGAAATCTCTGCTTGGAGTCACCCTCACTCCTGACTGCTGCTTCTGCTTCTGACAAATAGTACACAGACAGGATGGGGCATAAAACAGAGATGATTTCCAAACAGTAATTATATCAAGCGTTTTACATGAGCAGATGTCAGGAATGACTTGGACATCTCTGGGGGAAGCAGCCTAGCATAGTGAAAGGAGCTGGGCTTTGGAGCCAGCCAAACCTGGTTAGAGCCCATTTCTCCGGTCTCTAGCCATGGGCCCATGGGCAAGTTACTTTGAAACCAGGGGACTGACCCTAATCTCTCCTAGCTCTTCCCCTGACACTAGTCAGTGCAGGCCTTGGCTAAGGGGGAAGGAAGATAGCTAAAGAAAATATACTTGACCAGCCAGGACGGGCTGGGTTCCTGGACACCACAAATTCAGTAATAAGATAAGAGTTGGTTAAACATGAACTTCCTTAGGCTAAGACTTGATTTGGAGATCAGGATGTTTGTTCCTTTAAATAAATGCCTTATGGCTTAGGATAACATCTGTAACACAATCTTGAGTTGTCTTTGCAGATAAACTACAAGCCTGCTTTGAAGTCTGTACCCCTCTGGACTCAGGGAGCCAAGGAGGACCTTAGCCGGAACGCCAGAAATAACTACGCTGACCTCACCACCGACCAATCAGATTCACACGTGACTGCTGAGACCCGCCCCCCACACTCATGATTTTGCTTGTGACTTTAAGTGGTCAAGGAGTCTGGGATGTTAAAAGCTCCTTTAGCTACCATAGGTTCCTTTGAATGGTCATCCAAATTAATGCTATTTTTAACATAGCAAACTTTGGTGCAAGAGATTTTTAGACATTTGGGTAGCAGATGACAGACCCTTCCTGGTTCAGCAACAATTTTGCTGCTCCAAGCCTCCGTTTTCTATTGACAAAATAAGGATAATAATATCTACCTTGCAAGGTTGTTTTGAGGATTAGAGATAATGGTATTAAACACCTGGCACTTAGTCAGTTTTTGTTATCATCTAAAAATGATTTCTGTAATCATCACTGATTTAAAGAGGGGTGAAGTACCCACTAATGCCTCCTTGCCTTTCTCACATCCTGTGGAAAGGTATCAATTAGATTCTACAGCACAGCCTTACTCCTGGGGTCAGTTTCAGGAAACCTGTTTTGTTTTCATGTGTCGCCAGATAGTCTCTAAATTGTCTTGGGATTTCCTCTTTGACCATGGTTATCTAAGGGTGAGTTCTTTAATTTAGAGATTGATTTTTTTTTTACAGTAGCAAATAATTAATGAAGAAATGAGATCCTTTCCCTTTATTCTTGAACAATACAGAATTTTATAATTTTATATTTAGAATTTAAATAAAGGGAAAAAATGAGAGCATATGTTAAGTGTCCTGTTGTCTTTGATTCTGCATACTCTCTACATTTGGTCCAAAGCAACTTTGACGTGCTATGAGCCCATAACTTAATAGACGATTTATGGTTTTCTTAGACCTCATGGGATTTATTTGCATGATTGTTAGAATTCCTGGAAGATTGTATTTTAAATTCTAGTATTTGTAACATTTATTCAGGGTAGAATAAGGCCGAGGAACAAGTTTTACATAGGCCATCATGTATAAACACTAATTCATTCATTTATTTGTTCATTCATGCATTTATTTTTGGCAGCTGGCCTGGTCATCTGCCAGGATAAAGTAGCATCCTGTAAACGGCACATGTAAACACCCACAACCAAGTCCCCTGAGCCCTGTCAGCACAGGGCTAGAGTTTATAGCTACTTTCCAGAGAGAGACCTCAAAACCAAATTAGAGGAAAAATACAACAGAAGAGAAGGTGAGATTGCTAGATTTTCATTCTATATCACAAGCCAGCATCAAATGAGGTATAACTCCTACAAGCCCACTAGGTCTCCTTAGTGCACTGCAGAGCATATCTGCACCCCACATCCCCAGCGCCTGTAACGTGGTTAGTACCTTAATAAACCCAGCCCAGTTCTGCTGCATTCCTATAACAAGCCCAGGGGGTAGAGTCACAGAAGAATTACTTCAAGGCTTTCTATACTATATAACCATTAGCTCTTTAATTTTCCAGAGCCTAAAAATTTAGATTGGCTATAAAATATAAAATTTTACTATGACAATTATGAAATAATACAAAAGTTAAGAGCGAACTATGACCTGTCTGGCGGGCAACATAAATATCTAGAACTCCACTGTTAGGTACAATTTAAAAGTATGAGCTATTCAAATTTTATAGATAAAAATTTAGGTTGCTTTTGAAATCTGAATTTTGCTATGTTCCAAGTACGGACTTAGGAATGGCATATTCATTTTAAATGGGTTATACTCCCATTTAAAGAGAACTTTAAGTAAAAATACAAAGTAGCACGCTGTGGTTTTAGGCAATGAGATTTCAAAGGCAATAAAATTAAATCTAAAACAAGAAGAATAATAAATTTGTATAGTTCCTGGTATAGCAATACACAAAACGTTGGACTTTTACAAGCTTTAACTCAGATGAGAAATTATAAAGTGTCACATTAAAAAGTAATACTCATTTTAAAATCTGAGAGGGAACCGCTTTCAGAATTCATTGAAGGCTGTTCTTCTGGCCTACCTTTTGGTGGCCGGCATGGAGGATTCTTTCCTGGTCCCAGAGGGGGATGGTAGGGAGCCGCTGGGTTTCTTTGGTAACACGGTGCCATTGTTGACAGTGGTTCGTAAAGGCAGGGTCTGCACCAGTGGTCTTGCTGTTAGACAAGCAGAAAAGGAAATCAGAACTTGCCCCTTTGTAAAGATAACTCTTTACAGAACTTAATCTATGTAGAAAAGAAAAGGACATCAACTTAAAAACTCTAGCAGACTTGACAAAGGGACAAAGGTGACTCAGCGGAGAATGGACCATCTTTTCAACAAATGGTGCTTGAACAGTGAACCTAGACAACAACCCCACAAAAATTAATTATAAAACCTACAGAAGAAAACATCCTTGGGTTTGCTAATGAGTTTTTAGATATAATACAAAAGCACAATCCATGAAAAAAAAAATTGATAGCTTGAACTTCATTAAAATTTTATAGCATTTGCAAAAGACACTTAAGAGGACAAAAACACAAGTCATACACTGGGATAAAATATTTGCAAATCACATATCTGATAAAAGACTTGTATACAGAATATAAAAAGAACTTTTAAAATTTAATAGTGAGAAAACAAACAGCCAATTAAAAAAATGGGCAAAAGATCTGAAAAGATACTTCACCAAAGAAGATATACAGATGGCAAATAAGCATATGAAAAGATGCCCAACATCATGTGCCATTAGGGAAATGCAAATTAAAACAGTAATGAGATACCTCTATATACCTATTAGAATGGCTAACATCCAAAAAACAGACAAAATACCAATTGCTGAGCAACAGGAAACTCTCATTCATTGCTGGTAGGAACATAAAACATACAGCCACTTTGGAAGACAGTTTGGCAATTTCTTATAAAGCTAAATAGAGTCTTACCATATGATTCAGTAATTGTGCTGATACTAGGTATTTACCTGATTGATCTAAAAACTTATGTCTACACAAACCTGCATGTAAATATTTATGGCAGCTTTATTGATAATTGTCAAAAACTAGAAGCAACCAAGATGTCCTTTGATAGGTGAATGCATAAACAAACTGGTCCATCCATACAATGGAAGATGACTCAGTGATAGAAAGGAATGAATCAACCCTCACAACCTCACGGATGAGTCTTAGATCCACACCGCTAAGTGAGAGGAGCAAGTCTGAAAGGCAGCACGTTGTATGATTCCATTTATATGACATTCTAGAAAAGGCAAAACTGAAGACAGAAAACAGATCTGTGGTTGCCAGAGGTTGGGTGTGGGGGGATTGTATAGGTGAATAGGAGATTTTCTAGGGTGGTAAAACTATTCTGTATAATACTGTCATGGTGGACATTACATGGACACAATGTAACACTATGACACTACGCATTCTCAAAACCGATAGACCCTTATAGCACAAGAGCGAACCTTAATGTATGCAAATAAAAAATGATTAGGAGATGGGGAACCCATGATGGAATGCAGATTGTGTCGAAGAATCTAACTGTATTACAAATATATGACAGAACCTCCCCGAAGAAGGTGGGGAAGGTGCTGACCTAAGAAATTTTAGAAATGAGCAGAGACTATAAGACAAAAGACAAAAGAAATTCCACATAAGCATTGTGTCCTAGTTGGTAAAGCTGTCTCCCCCAAGGTTCAGGCCAGCAGTTCAGAAGCCACTATACATGAATACTAGAATGGAAGACTTAGGTAAATACACGGAGGATGGCAGGAGGCAGGCTTCTCCCTGTGAGAGAGGGAGGTGACTGTGAGCAAGCGGGGAGGCTGGAAGGAACCATGTGGTCTGCAGTGCAGCAGGAGACATCCCTGCAAACTCATGTTTACCTTCATGCAGACACAGATGTGTATTACAGGTATGTACATATACACAGGTTAGCATAAATGCACACATTTCTGGGCTCTCTCTGCTGAGACAGCCTAAAGCAATGACACCAGCGCCCAGATCCCGGTTTCTGATACCATTCCACAAGGAAAGGAACCAGGCCTCCTGGGAAACGGCCGAACCGAGGGCTGTGGCAGGGAACACACAACATGAGCCTGCAGCATTATGCAGTGCCAGAAAGTGAGAAGTGCTCTAACAACAAAACAAAACCAAAAATCCCTCTATCAATGGGGGCAAGTGACAGGAACATAGGAGCCAACTGAAAGAGCACCCAAAGGCCAAAGCTGGAACAATCTGAGAAACAAACTAAATAACACAGTATTGGTATAAAATTTAAAAAGCATAAAATAAAAGTACAACTTAAATAGCTGTAAGTTCATACTGATATAAATTACTGAATAAATAAATAAATGAGGAGACTAGACAAACCCCCAAGCAGAATTCCAAATGATTTACATAGATACCTTGTCCTCCCAGAGAGGGAGCATAAGTCCCCACTCCTTAAGAGTGGGTGACACACAGTGACTTTTTCCTAAACAGCATATTAAGGAAATAGGGGAAAAAATGACTTCCATGTAGTGACAAACACTACCTCATCCAGGTGACCAAGGTCAATATTAACAGTGGTAAGTCTTATTGACGGTATATGCCCTGGATTGAATATCCCCCCCAAACTTAATTTACCACCATAACTGTTGAGGGTGGTAAATCCTACTTTGGTCATTGAAAGGTGGGGCCTTGAAGAAATGATTNGTAGCAATAAATTTCATTTTCTTATAAATCACCCAGTTCCAGATATTCTGTTTCAAGCAACAGGAGTGGACTAGTACAGTGCATGTACCCTTGATACATGATATGATGACAGGATACGATGAGAAGGCACTTCGCCTCTGTGGCGATTGTGTGACTGTGCCTCACTAAAACCCACAACCTGAGTCCACCCAGGAGAAAAACATCAGAGGGACCCAAATGGAAGGACAGTCAATGAACTACCTAACCAGCATTTCCTCAAAACTGTCAAGGTCATCAAAAACAAGATAAATTGTCAGTCTAGAGAAGCCAAAGGAGACATGATGACTAAATATAATGTGGTATTCTGGATGGATTCCTGGAACAAAAAAGGACATTATTGACAAACTAAGGAAATCTGAGTAAAGTATGACCTTTAGTTAATAGTAATGTATCAATATTGATCCGTTAGTTGTGACAAGTGTGCCATATATTAGTATGTAAGATGTTAGTAATGGGGGAATTTGGGTACAGGGTATATGGGAACTGTCTGCATGTGCAACGTTTGGGCAAATCTAATACTATTCTAGAATAAAAAGTTTATTTAAAAATGTTAGAAGAATTTATTTGTCCGTCACAGAATTAATCTGCCTCCATTTAGGCTTTTAAAAACATACCAATGACAGAACTGCATGCAATGCCAAATTTGTAATACACTGGAACTTTTCAGTCCCAAAAGCTGAGGACCAGCTTTCCTTCTTTTTTTTTCTAATGTTAAAGAAAGTGGAGAAGGCCACAGTGAGCCCTCCAGCCAGAGAGCTTAACATCCCTCTCCTCTCCTCCCCAAGATCTCTCCTCCTCATTCCCCGAACACCTCGCTCCAAACATGGGCCTAGGAACGAATAATCCTCAATGGAAATATCACAGGTCCAAAACCAAGACTCCTAATCTTCTCTTGCACTCACAATCTGTTCTCCTTGCTAACGCCTGTTCTCTGTCAGGGCAGAACACTTCTCCCAAGCAGGAAGAAATACAACCTTCACTTTATCTTTCTTCATCTTTCTTCTCTCTCTACTTCATCCCACCCTTTCAGTCTCCACGTTTTTTAAAAAAACATGTACTTGATTGATCAGTGTCCCCCTAAAACTCATGTCCACCTGGAACCTCAGAATGCGATCTTATTTGGATATAGGGTCTTTGCAGGTGTTATCAAGGTAAAGATGTAGAGGAGACCAAATGGATTAGGGTGGAAACTAAATCCAATGAGAGTGTCCTTGGAAGAAGGCACGTGAAGACACACAATAGGGGGTAGCCATGTGAAGACAGAGGCAGAGATTGGGGTGATGCATCTACAAGCCAAGGAACGCCAAAGACAGCCAGCAGCCACCAGAAGCTGGGAGAGAAGCACAGAACACACTCTCCCTTCGAGCATCCAGAAGGAACCACCCCCGCTGACACCTTGATTTAGACCCAGTGATACTGATTCTGGACTTCGGGCCTCCAGAACTGTGAGAGAATGAACTTCTGTTGTTTTAAGCTCCCTGGCTGTGTTACTTTGCTTTGGCAGTCCTACGAAGCAAATGCAGGGCTTCCAGCAAACTGCCTGCGTCTGTCCGTCCCCTTCCCACTGCAAGCATCTATGCAGTCTCTCTCCACTGCCTCCTAGAACCCTGTGCTGGTCTCCTGGCACATTCTGCCACTCTGTCCGCACTAATCTACCTAAAAGCTCTTATCTTATCGTCCCTCATCAATAGTCTCCAATGTCTCCTGATGTCTGCAGCACCCTGTTACAGGTTACCAGAACCAACATGAAATTTAGTGGCTGAAATAATGATAGTAGCTGTTGAGTGCCTGGCATAAGGCAGGGCATTAACAGCTTGAAATGCACCATCTCACCTAACTGGTACGAGCACGTGGGGTCCAACTCCCATGTGACGGCCAGCCCTAGAGGAGAGACGGGGAGAGGCTACTGGCCCCGACTTCTAGGCTTTGGCTCCTCTGTATACAGAATGTATAAAGAAAGTAGAAAGTGTTTTTGGTAAAAAGGGTTATAAAAAAGATATGAGGATATGTTTTTTTAGAGAAGAGATAATCTTGTCTAAGCTTAAAGGGTATTTAAGCATGATTTTTTAAAGAAACAGGAATGATTTTTTTTTTTTTTGTGACCGGCAATGGGATCACAACCCTTGGCTCGGTGTCATCCACACCACACTCAGCCAGGGAGTGCACCGGCCATCCCTATACAGGATCCGAACCTGTGGCCTCGGCGCTGTCAACACCACACTCTCCCGAGTGAGCCACGGGGCTGGCCCAACAGGAATGATACTGATAAAACTAAATGGATATGGAAACTTGAAAAATGAAAAAATTTTTTTGTTAAAAAGTTATAAAGGGTTTTAAAAAATCTTATGTAGTCAAAGCTGACTAAGATTGGATACATTTTTTATAAGATTTTTATCAAAATTAACTTTAGTATTAATAATATACTAGCCCTGTCCATTGTTTTT